TTTTATATTTTTCATATAATTAAGGCATTTCTGTTTTTATCTACAGGTCAATGCATGCATAATTGATTATTTCGTGAATATTTTCCTTGTGGATAGGGATCGGAGATTGAAGGGATTATGTTCAATAATGACATTCCAAAGATCAGCCCTGGCCTTCAAGTTTATAAAAAGTATCCGATTTCAAATGCCATAGTAAGACTCATTCCAGTAAAATGTCAAACTGCTGAACTGAAGATCAGGGGTGTGGAAGCCCCCTTGCCACGTAGGTATCGTCGTCCTCCACGTGGCGAGACGGGATTGGCACGATGGTGACATGGCGAAATTGATTGGTTGTCAACTGTGCCTGTTGCACCTGATTCTTCCTCCCCTTTGTTCGTCGTCCCGTCTTTCCTTCCTACCATTTAATTCTACTGTGATTTTCTACAGATGTTCGATTGAGGTGGTCAGCTACTCTCTACTCGCTCATCAGGCTCCTCTCTACCGGCTCTAACCTGCTTTTTTCTTTTTTACTCCGCCACATATTGGTGTTGTCTACACTCCGAATTTTATCTTTCCCGCACCTGATTTTCCCTCTCCTCTTCCTCGTTCGTCTTTCCTTCCGCTTGTTTTTGCTACTGTGTTGTGCTCCCCGCTTCTTTTTCCTTTTTCTCGACATTCTGAGGCTGCTCCCATTAAAAATTACTGTCTCTTCGCAGTCCTTGCACGTCTTCCCCACATTTCTCTGTTCTTTCCTTCTGTGGAAAATTGATTTTTCAAAGACTATGTTGACTGAGTTTTTAGAATGAACAAAACAAATGCTACAGCTCAGAATTTGAAGTGCTTATATAAATATTTTCTACAACATTTTTTATGGACTCCAAAAATAAAGACATGGTCAGAGAGGAGTCGTAGAAAGGTCATAGGGAGACTGGTAACTGTCAGCCTAGGAAAGGAGAAAGGTACTACATAAGACTCACACATTTCAGGAACCAACGTCGTTTGATGACTTACTTATGGTTAGAGGTCACAAAACTGGCTCTTTTAGAGAAGCCTGTTTGCAGTTAGGATTATTGGAATCTGATTCCTATATAGAAGAAGCATTACAGGAAGCTGCTCATTTCCAGATGCCATATTTGTTAAGGTCTTTATTTGCAATGCTTCTGTTTTATTGTTCTCCAAAAAATCCAAACATCTTTGGCAAGCATTTGAAGCGCAGCTATCTTTTGATTATAAACGAAGTTGCGCACATCGACACTGCACATCAATAGAGATTAAAAGGAAAGTTCTTCAGGATATTAATTCAACATTGGAACACATGGGAAAAACCTTTGATGACTATCATTTCCTCGAAGATTCCTTTACATCCCATTATGGTGAGCCCCTGACTAAAGAAATTAAAAGTGAAACTGCGACACCGATTGATCCAGAAGATCTGCTTCTTCCTCGAAAATTGAATGCTGGATGAAGGCATGCATTTAATTTGATTCTGGATTCAATATCCAGCTCAAAAGGTCAAGTTTTTTTGTTGATAGTCCAGGTGGAATGGGTAAAACTTTCTTATATCGAGTGCTTCTCACTTTTTTTCGTTCACAAGGATATGTGGCAATTACAGGCGTCGCAACACCTATCATCCCTGGTGGTAGAACTGCACACTCAAAATATAAGATTCCTTTGGATTTTTTAAAACAAAAAACTTGTCAACAAAGTAAGTGAGCAGTGTTGCAGGCTGATTATTAATGCTAAATTAATCTTGTAGGATGAGACTTCAATGGCAAAAACGGAAACAATAGAGGCAGTTCATTGTCTTCTTACAGATATAATGGAATTATGTACCCTTTGGAGGAAAAACTATTATTTTTTGCGTGATTTTCGCCAAACCCTGCCAGTTATTGAACAGCTAGGCGAGTCAGATTCGATCAAATCGACTGTCTATATTCACATTTATGGTCTCATATGCGTAAGCAGCGACTGGCAACAAATATGAGAGCTGCCTTAAATCACATTTTCAGCTTTTTTTTTATTAGAGTAGGAGAAGATGTTGAACCTGTTGATGAACATGGTCAGATGTCCCTTCCACCTCATATGGTTATTTCTTATCACAACAAAGAAGAGTCGCTTGCAGGTTATAATCATATAGTGCATTATAATTAGTTCATTCCGTGTGTGTTTTTGACTATTTGTCCTAATTACATGTAAATTCTTCCAGGTTATTTGGGATCGTCTTTCCTGATTTAAATCTGTACTCTTGTAATCCTTATCGAATGATAAATAGATGTGTACTTTGTCCAAAAAATAGTTCAGTGGATGAAATTAATAGGATGATGATTGCAAAATTTCTGAAAAATCTTCACAGATATAGAAGTTGTGATAGAACTGTTGATAAGAGAAATCAGACAGATTATGAGGACTTTCTAAATTCTTTTAACCCAAAAGGTCTGCCTTCTCATGAACTTTTACGCAAAGAAAACTGTCCTATAATGCTTCTAAGAAATGTGAATCCAACGGATGGTCTTTGCAATGGCACACGGTTAATCTGTAGAGAATTGGGTGAGCTCACAATTACTGGAAATTTTCTCTGGTCCTCATAAAGGGAAAAAGTCTTCATTCCAAAAATTCCTTTGCAGACTTTTGACAGCGAAAAGAATGGTATTCCATTTATACGGACACAGTTTCACGTCCGTTTATGCTTTGCAATGACAATCAATAAACCTCAGGGTAGACTCTTGACTATGTTGAAATTTATCTGTGAACTTGTCTTTTCTCACGGCCAGCTTTATGTTGCTCTCTCTAGAGTTAGGAATTCTTCCGCAGTTAAAGCTTTAATTGCTCCGGGTACTTCTGATGACATCAAAGTTGATTGTAAAACAAGAAATGTTGTCTTTCATGATATATTTTGCTTGACTAACACATGATATATGAGGTCTGATTACCCGTATCATTGAATACTTATTAGTTTATGATTTGAAGAATCAAATGCTGTTGCCAATTTCCCATTCCATTTCTGTTTCTAAAAATTTACAGAATGGAACATGTTATCCCAGTCAAAGACGTCCTACCTGGCTCTGAAGGCAGGACCTGCAAAGTCACCATGCAAGAAAAACAGTAGATAACTGGATCAGCAACGCCGCGAATAAAAAAATAAAAGTTTATTTTGATGGATTCAGAGGTCTTCTCCCTGCTGCCATGATATATACTTCTTCATACTGCATGATTAATATTTCATCGCTAAAAGCGCGCATTAATATGGTTCTTATATTTTTCATATAATTAAGGCATGTTCTGTTTTTATCTACAGGTCAATGCATGCATAATTGATTATTTCGTGAATATTTTCCATGTGGATAGGGATTGGAGATTGAAGGGATTATGTTCAATAATGACATTCAAAGATCAGCCCTGGCCTTCAAGTTTATAAAAAGTGTTCGATTTCAAATGACATAGTAAGGCTCATTCAAGTAAAATGTCAAACTGCTGAACTGAAGTTCCAGTGTGTGTGGAAGCCCCCTTGCCACTTAGGTTTCGTCGTCCCCACGTGGCGAGACGGGATTGGCACGATGGTGACATGGCGTGAATTGATTGGCTGTCAATTGTCCCTATTGCAACTGATTCTTCTCCCATTGTTCGTCGTCCCGTCTTTCCTTCCTGCCGTTTAATTCTATTGATTTTCTGCAGATGTTCGATTGAGGTGGTCAGCTACTCTTTAACTCGCTCATCGGGCTCCTCTCTAATGGCTCTAACCTGCTTCTTTCATTTTTTACTCCGCTACATATTGGTGTTGTCTCCACTCCGAATTTTATCTTTCTCGCACCTGATTTTCCTCTCCTCTCTCCTTCGTTCGTCTTTCCTTCCGCTTGTTTTTGCTACTGTGTTGCTTTCTCCCCGCTTCTTTTTCCCATTTTCTCTACATTCTGAGGCTGCTACCATTCAAAAATTGCTGTCTCTTCGCAGTCCTTGCACGTCTTCCCCACATTCTCTCTGTTTCTTTCCTTCTGGTGGAAAATTGAGTTTTCAAAGACTATGTTGACTGAGTTTTCAGAATGAACAAAACAAATGATACAACTCAGAATTTGAAGTGCTTATATAAAGATTTTCTGTAACATTTTTATGAACTCCAAAAATAAAGACATGGTCGGAGAGGAGTCGTAGAATGGTCATAGGGAGACTGATAACTGTCGAGCCTAGGGAAGGAGAAATGTACTACATAAGACTTTTACTCACACATGTTCAGGAACCAACGTCGTTTGATGACTTACTTAAGGTTAGAGGTCACAAAACTGACTCTCTTAGAGAGGCCTGTTTGCTGTTAGGATTATTGGAATCTGATTCCTATATAGAAGAAGCATTACAGAAGCTGCTCATTTCCAAATGCCATATTTGTTAAGGTCTTTATTTGCAATGCTTCTGTTTATTGTTCTCCAAAAAATCCCAAACATCTTTGGCAAGCATTTGAAGAGCAGCTATCCTCTGATTACAATGAAGTTGCGCACATCGACACTGCATATCAATAGAGTTTAAAAGGAATTTCTTCAGGATATTAATTCAACATTGAAACACATGGAAAAAAAACCTTGATGACTATCATTTCCTCGAAGATTCCTTTACATCCCGTTATGGTGAGCCCCTGACTAAAGAAATTAAAAGTGAAACTGCGACACCGATTGATCCAGAAGATCTGCTTCTTCCTCAAAAATTGAATGCAGGATGAAGGCATGCATTTTATTTGATTCTGGATTCAATATCCAGCTCAAAAGGTCAAGCTTTTTTATTGATAGTCCAGGTGGAACGGGTAAAACCTTCTTATGTCGAGTGCTTCTCCCTTTTCTTCGTTCACAAGGATATGTGGCAATTGCAGTGGCCACATCTGGGGTCGCAACACCTATCATCCCTGGTGGTAGAACTGCACACTCAAAATATAAGATTCCTTTGGATTTTTAAAACAAAAAACTTGTCAACAAAGTAAGTGGAGCAGTGTTGCCAGGCTGGTTATTAATGCTAAATTAAGCTTGTAGGATGAGGCTTCAATGGCAAAAACGGAAACAATAGAGGCAGTTCATTGTCTTCTTACAGATATAGTGGAATCTGATGTACCCTTTGGAGGAAAAACTATTATTTTTGGCGGTGATTTTCGCCAAACCCTGCCTGTTATTGAACAGCTAGGCGAGTCAGATTCGATCAAATCGATTGTTCTATATTCATATTTATGGTCTCATATGCGTAAGCAGCGACTGGCAACAAATGCGAGAGCTGCCTTAGATCCTGCATTGTCAGCTTTTTTTATTAGAGTTGGAGAAGATGTTGAACCTGTTGATGAACATGGTCAGATGTCCCTTCCACCTCATATGGTTATTTCTTATCATAACAAAGAAGAGTCGCTTGACAGGTTATAATCATATAGTGCATTATAAGTAGTTCATTCCGTCCGTGTATTTTTGACTATTTGTCCTAATTACATGTAAATTCTTCCAGGTTATTTGGGATTGTCTTTCCTGATTTAAATCTGTACTCTTGTAATCCTTATCGAATAATAAATAGATGTGTACTTTGTCCAAAAAATAGTTCAGTGGATGAAATTAATAGGATGATGATTGCAAAATTTCCAGAAAATCTTCACAGATATAGAAGTTGTGATAGAACTGTTGATAAGAGAAATCTGACAGATTATGAGGACTTTCTAAATTCTTTTAACCAAAGGTCTGTCTCCTAATCAACTTTTACGCAACGAAAACTATCCTATAATGCTTCTAAGAAATGTGAATCCAACGGATGGTCTTTGCAATGGCACACGGTTAATATGTAGAGAATTGGTGAACTCACAATTACTGTTGAAATTTTCTCTGGTTCTCATGAAGGGAAAAAGTTTTCATGTCAAAAATTCCTTAGCAGAATTTTGATAGCGAAAAGAATGGTATTCCATTTATATGAACACAGTTTCACGTCCGTTTATGCTTTGTGATGACAATCAATAAACCTCAGGGTTAGACTCTTGACTATGTTGAAATTTTTCTCAAAGAACTTGTCTTTTCTCACGGCCAGCTTTATGTTGCTCTTTCTAGAGTTAGGAATTCTTCCGCAGTTAAAGCTTTAATTGCTCCGAGTACTTCTGATGACATCAAAGTTGATTGTAAAACAAGAAATGTTGTCTTTCATGATATATTTTTGCTTGACTAACACATGATATATGAGGTCTGATTACCCGTACCATTGAATACTTATTAGTTTGATTTGAAGAATCAAATGCTGTTGCTAATTTCCCATTCTATTTCTGTTTTGTTAAAATTTACAGAATGGTACATGTTATTCCAGTTAGAGACGTCCTACCAGGCTCTGAAGGCAGAACCTGCAAAGTCACCGTTCAAGAAAAACAACAGATAACTGGATCAGCAATGCCGCCAATGAAAAAATGAAAGTTTATTCTGTTGGATTCAGAGGTCTTCTCCCTGCTGTCATGATATATACTTTTCATACTGCATGATTAAACATTTCTTTGCTAAAAAAGCGCATTAATATGGTTCTTATATTTTTTATATAATTAAGGCATCTTCTGTTTTTATCTACAGGTCAATGCATGCTTAATTGATTATTTTGCGAATATTTTCCTTGTGGATAGGGATCGGAGTTTGAAGGGATTTGTTCAGTAATGACATTCCAAAGATCAGCCCTGGCTTTCAAGTTTATAAAAAGTATCCGATTTCAAATGCCATAGTAAGGCTCATACCAGTATAATGTCAAACTGCTGAATTGAAGATCTAGGGGGTGTGGAAGCCCCCTTGCCTCCTGTTGAATTGATGTGCCTGTTAAGGTCTTTATTTACAATGCTTCTGTTTTATTGTTCTCCAAAAAATCCCAAACATCTTTGGCAAGCATTTGAAGAGCCGCTATCTTCTGATTACAAATGAAGTTGCGCACATCGACACTGCACATCAATAGAGTTTAAAAGGAATTTCTTCAGAATATTAATTCAATATTGGAACACATGGAAAAAAACCTTGATGACAATCAATTCCTCGAAGATTCCTTTACATCCCGTTATGGTGAGCCCCTGACTAAAGAAATTAAAAATGAAACTGCGACACAGATTGATCCAAAAGATCTGCTTCTTCCTAAATAATTGAATGCTAGATGAAGGCATGCATTTAATTTGATTTTGGATTCAATATCCAGCTCAAAAGGTCAAGTTTTGTAATTGACTGTCCAGGTGGAATGGGTAAAACTTTCTTATACCGAGTACTTCTCGCTTTTCTTCGTTCACAAGGATATGTGGCAATTGCAGTTGCCACATCTGGGGTTGCAGCACCTATCATCCCTGGGGGTAGAACTGAACACTCAAAATATAAGATTCCTTTGGATTTTTTGAAACAAAAACTTGTCAACAAAGTAAGTAGAGCAGTGTTCCTAGACTGATTATTAATGCTAAATTAATCTTGTAGGATGAGGCTTCAATTGCAAAAACGGAAACTATAGAGGTGGTTCATTGTCTTCTTACAGATATAATGGAATCTGATGTACCCTTTGGAGGAAAAACTATTATTTTGGGCGGTGATTTTCGCCAAACCCTGCCCGTTATTGAACAGTTAGGCGAGTCAGATTCGTTCAAATCGACTGTTCTATATTCACATTTATGGTCTCATATGCGTAAGCAGCGACTAACAACAAATATGAGAGCTGCCTTAGATCCAACATTTTCACCTTTTTTATTAGAGTAGGAAAAGATGTTGAACCTGTTGATGACAATGGTCAGATGTCCCTTCCACCTCATATGGTTATTTCTTACCATAACAAATGAGAGTCGCTTGACAGGTTATAATCATATATTGCATTATAAGTAGTTCATTTATTTTTGACTATTTGTCCTAATTACATGTAAATTCTTTCAGGTTATTTGGGATGGTCTTTCCTGACTTAAATCTGTACTCTTGTAATCCTTATTGAATGATAAATAGATGTGTACTTTTGATAGCGAAAAGAGTGGTATTCCATTTATATGGACACAGTTTCACGTCCGTTTATGCTTTGCAATGACAAGGAATAAACCTCAGGGTCAGACTCTTGACTATGTTGAAATTTATCTCAGTGAACCTGTCTTTTCTCACGGCCAGCTTTATGTTGCTCTCTCTAGAGTTAGGAATTCTTCCACAGTTAAAGCTTTAATTGCTCCGGGTACTTCTGATGACATCAAAGTTGATTATAAAACAAGAAATGTTGTCTTTCATGATATATTTTGCTTGACTAACACATGATATATGAGGTCTGATTACCCGTACCATTGAATACTTATTAGTTTGATTTGAAGAATCAAATGCTATTGCCAATTTCCATTCTATTTCTGTTTTCTTAAAATTTACAGAATGGTACATGTTATTCCAGTTAGAGACGTCCTACCAGGCTCTGAAGGCAGGACCTGGAAAGTCACCGTGCAAGAAAAACAGCAGATAACTGGATCAGCAGTGCCGCCAATAAAAAAATGAAAGTTTATTTTGTTGGATTCAGAGGTCTTCTCCCTGCTGCCATGATATATACTTCTTCATACTGCATGATTGAACATTTCATCGCTAAAAGTGCGCATTAATATGGTTCTTATATTTTTCATATAATTAAGGCATCTTCTGTTTTTATTTACATGTCAATGCATGCATAATTGCTTATTTCGTGAATATTTTCCTTGTGGATAGGATCGGAGATTGAAGGGATTATGTTCAGTAATGACATTCCAAAGATCAGCCCTGGCCTTCAAGTTTATAAAAAATATCCGATTTCAAATGCCATAGCAAGGCTTATTCTTGTAAAATGTCAAACTGCTGAACTGAAGATCTAGGGGGTGTGGAAGCCCCCTTGCCACGTTGGTATCGTCGTCCTCCTCGTGGCGAGACGGGATTGGCACGATGGTGACATGGTACGAATTTATTGGCTGTCAACTGTGCCTGTTGCGCCTGATTCTTTCTCCCCTTTGTTCGTCGTCTCGTCTTTCCTTCCTACCGTTTAATTCTATTGTGATTTTCTACAGATGTTCGATTGAGGTGGTCAGCTACTCTCTACTCGCTCATCAGGCTCCTTTCTTCCGGCTCTAACCTTCTTCTTTCTTTTTTTACTCCGTCACATATTGGTGTTGTCTCCACTCCGAATTTTATCTTTCCTGCACATGATTTTTTCTCTCCTCTCTCTTTCGTTCGTCTTTCCTTCCGTTTGTTTTTGCTACTGTGTTGTTTTCTCCCCGCTTCTTTTTCCCTTTTTCACAAGACATTCTGAGGCTGCTCCCATTCAAAAATTGCTGTCTCTTCGCAGTCTTCGCAGTCCCATTCAAAAACTATGTTGACTGAGTTTTTCAGAATGAACAAAACAAATGCTACAGCTCAGAATTTGAAGTGCTAATATAAAGATTTTCTGCAACATTTTTTATGGACTCCAAAAATAAAGACAAGGTCAGAGAGGAGTTGTAGAAAGGTCATAGGGAGACTGGTAATTGTCGAGCCTAGGAAAGGAAAAAGGTACTACATAAGACATTTACTCACACATGTTCAGGAACCAACGTCGTTTGATGACTTACTTATGGTTAGAGGTCACAAAACTGACTCTCCTGGAGAGGCCTGTTTGCAGTTAGGAATATTGGAATCTGATTCCTATATAGAAGAAGAATTACAGGAAGCTGCTCATTTCCAAATGCCATATTTGTTAAGGTCTTTATTTGCAATGCTTCTGTTTATTGTTCTCCAAAAAATCCCAAACATCTTTGGCAAGCATTTGAAGAGCAGCTATCTTCTGATTACAATGAAGTTGCGCACATCGACACTGCATATCAATAGAGTTTAAAAGGAATTTCTTCAGGATATTAATTCAACATTGAAACACATGGAAAAAAAAACCTTGATGACTATCATTTCCTCGAAGATTCCTTTACATCCCGTTATGGTGAGCCCCTGACTAAAGAAATTAAAAGTGAAACTGCGACACCGATTGATCCAGAAGATCTGCTTCTTCCTCAAAAATTGAATGCAGGATGAAGGCATGCATTTTATTTGATTCTGGATTCAATATCCAGCTCAAAAGGTCAAGCTTTTTATTGATAGTCCAGGTGGAACGGGTAAAACCTTCTTATGCCGAGTGCTTCTCCCTTTTCTTCGTTCACAAGGATATGTGGCAATTGCAGTGGCCACATCTGGGGTCGCAGCACCTATCATCCCTGGTGGTAGAACTGCACACTCAAAATATAAGATTCCTTTGGATTTTTTAAAACAACAAACTTGTCAACAAAGTAAGTAGAGCAGTGTTGCTAGGCTGATTATTAATGCTAAATTAATCTTGTAAGATGAGGCTTCAACGGCAAAAACGGAAACAATAGAGGCGGTTCATTGTCTTCTTATAGATATAATGGAATCTGATGTACCCTTTGGAGGAAAAACTATTATTTTTGGCGGTGATTTTCGCCAAACCCTGCCAGTTATTGAACAGCTAGGCGAGTCAGATTCGATCAAATCGACTGTTCTATGTTCATATTTATGGTCTCATATGTGTAAGCAGCGACTGGCAACAAATATGAGAATTGCCTTAGATCCAGAATTTTCAGCTTTTTTTATTAGAGTAGGAGAAGATGTTGAACCTGTTGATGATTATGGTCAGATGTCCCTCCACCTCATATGGTTATTTCTCATCATAACAAAGAAGAGTCGCTTGACAGGTTATAATGATATAGTGCATTATAAGTAGTTCATTCCGTCGTGTACTTTTGACTATTTGTCCTAATTACATGTAAATTCTTCCTGGTTATTTGGGATCGTCTTTCCTGATTTAAATCTGTACTCTTGTAATCCTTATCGGATGATAAATAGATGTGTACTTTGTCCAAAAAATAGTTCAGTAGATGAAATTAATAGGATGATGATTGCAAAATTTCCGAAAAATCTTCACAGATAGAGAAGTTGTGATAGAACTATTGATAAGAGAAATCAGACAGATTATGAGGACTTTCTAAATTCTTTAAACCCAAAAAGTCTGCCTCCTAATGAACTTTTACGCAAAGAAAACTGTCCTATAATGCTTCTAAGAAATGTGAATCCAACAGATGGTCTTTGCAATGGCACACGATTAATCTGTAGAGAATTGGATGAGCTCACAATTACTGCGAAATCTCTGGGTCAGACTCTTGACTATATTGAAATTTATCTCAGTGAACCTGTCTTTTCTCACGGCCAGTTTTATGTTGCTCTCTCTAGAGTTAGGAATTCTTCCGCAGTTAAAGCTTTAATTGCTCCGGATACTTTTGATGACATCAAAGTTGATTGTAAAACAAGAAATGTTGTCTTTCATGATATATTTTACTTGACTAACACATGATATATGAGGTCTGATTATCCGTACCTTTGAATACTTATTAGTTTGATTTGAAGAATCAAATGCTGTTGCCAATTTCCCA